CTCTATTTTTAAACTAAGAGGAGCGTTTTGAATATTGCGCGCCAAAATGGTGGTTTCTTATTGGTTAATTTCGAGCCCACTTTACACTGCTAATAAATTTTACATTTTGACATTTGTTGTCATTTTGCCTCTTAGTTATCATCAGTTCGTTGTCATTGTGTTTTTACCTGCTTTTCTTTCTATTTATTATCCCAGTTACGTATAAATCAGTTCTTATCAGAACTAAACAACTTATTATATTGTTTATCATCCGTTTTTTCCAATTTTCCATTGGATATGGATGATGCTGTGCCGACCACGAGTAAGGCAGGCGCGGGAATTACATCGCCGTCGCCCCCAAGGAAACGAAAACAACTCAGTTTGGGGCATTTATCTCTTGCAGAAAAACAAGCAATATTGAATTTGTACAAGAAATGCCTAGATGATGAACCTACTCTTAAAACTGTCCAACTTTTATCCAAAATCGCGATGACATTAGGTAAATTTATATTAATATTATCTTCTGTTGAACTATATTACACATTATACTTTTTTAGGTGTTGCAAAATCAACAGTATATCGAGCCATAAAACAGTATAGATCTACTGGAAGGGTGTCTACTTCAAACACTGTGGTGGACGACTTGGGATTCATGTAACATGTTTGGATGAAGCAATGAAAATGCATACAAATAGTTCACATTTCAAAGGCATGGCTCCTTTTTACTGTATTAGTTGTTAAATGTTAAAAATTGACTTAAAAATTGTTTTTTATAAAAAAATGTTCACTATAGTTACAATTGTTTTTAATCTAGTGAAGTTCATAAAATTTTAACAACAATGTTCTTGTATACCTCGTTTTTGATGGTTTTTATATTATAATCTCACGTTTATGTCTTGAGAAAGGAAATAAACATTTCCGAAAGCTTGACTACAACACAGAGTGTTCTTATTACTTTAGCCCTTAACACTGTTGACTGCAATCCCAAATACATCACTGGTCACAGGGACCCATTGAAGAGGGAGGAATGGAAATCATTTTTTTGCAATATCTCTCAATCGCGTTGTGATAAATGAATGAAATTTGGTATACACAGCTAAATTTTGCCGAGCAATTTGATGGACTAATCCATTTATTTCCACAAGGTCCATTGGGGTGGGTACGGGAGGGCCCTTGGTACTTTGCGTGTGTAACTTATTCATCTTTGACTTTTTAACAAATTGGACAGCAAATTCCGTTTTCCCGAACTGTTTTACGTTAAAAAGGTACTGTTGCACCGTTTCTTTTTTGAATATTCTGCCTGCAAGGTTGGCAGCACCGGCAGTGCCTCCACCTAGTGTGGTTGGCTACCCGCCATGCGACGGTTCCCAGCATACTAGCTTGATATGTTATAGTATACACACGTATTGTACGTTATTAAAATATTTGTTATTTTACTAAATAAACTATAAAATAAAACATTCAAAAGTGCTTAAACAAATCAACATATGGTCCTTCAGAGCGTGATTATCACCAGCGATCAAGAATTTTAACTTTGTGCGAATTAGCTGAGGCAGGGAAGCGGCGTGAAATTTGTCCACCTGCATCGGACAAACAAACACTTGATTTCGGAAGAGCGGCCCAGCACCGGTGGAGAGCTATAGTAGAGGTGGGTGCGTTCCATATCATTCTTTTCTATTATCCATTTATTTATTTGTGCTAGAATATTAAATATGGCCGATCAGTTAAAAACATATAAGGCAAAACGGGCGGTTAATCGATCCGCAATAACTCGATTTGATACCTTCCTAAGCAAGTTTGTAGCCGAGAAAAATACTGATTATGTCGTTTTAAAAACGCGTATGGAAAGCATATCTCCTTTGTTAGAGGAATTCAATAATATTCAATTCGAAATTGAAACGTTAATTGCTGGCGACGATGAAGTTGCTATTCAATCAGATGAGCGTGAAAACTTCGAAGAAAATTATTATAGGTTAATTAGTACAGCTAAAAATATTATATTGCGTTCTCGCGAATCTATTGAGTCACTTTCGTCAAATGAAAGTATTTGTTCACAACAAAGTTTAAATAATGGCCCAAATTTGCTACAGAATGCTAGTGCCACACAAGAATCTCGTATTTTCAATTCCAATAATAATCATCCAGTTATGCAAAATAACTGCAATCCAAGTGATCAAAATCTTGACATTAAATTACCTGAAGTAAATTTACCGACTTTTGATGGTTCTTTGCATGATTGGCTCTACTTCCGAGACACATTTAAATCTGTTATTCACAATAAGCAAAACTTATCGGATGTAAACAAATTGCATTATTCTCGCGACTCGCTCTTAAAGGTGAAGCAGCAGAAATCTTGCGTGACCTTCAAATATCTGACGATAGTTATGGCGTAGCTTGGAAAAACTTACTCGATCGGTACGAAGACGAATCGGCATTAATTTCGCACCATATAAAAATATTATTTAACTTACCCTTGTTAACAAAAGAATCGCACATTGGTATTCGTCAATTACATGTTGCAATGACGCGTAATTTATCCATTCTTAAAAAACTTGGTGAACCCATTGAATATTGGGACACTTTAATAATACATTTGGTTTATACAAAACTTGATACTTATTCTAGGCGTAAATGGGACGCAAAAATTGCTGTAATTAAAAAGCCTACATTAAAAGACTTGAATCAATTTTTAACTGAAAGATACAAAATATTACAAAAATCTAAAGAAAATGATGTATATTCTCAAGATTCTGTCAATAAAAATAAATATAAATCTAGATCTTTTGCGATTACTAACAAATCATCTTGTGCATTATGCAATAATGAACATACAATTCAAAATTGTCCAAAATTTCTTGCGTTAAGTAGCGTTGAAAAATACCAAGAAGCAAGGCGGCTAAGATTATGCGTTAACTGTTTGCGTGATAATCATATAACGAAACATTGTAAAGCCCTTAAATGTAGAAAATGCGGAAAGGCTCACAATACACTGTTACATTTTGAAAATTCTAAAGGTGACATTCCAAATACTTCTTCTGATAGTAACACTCAAACAAATTCTGAAAATATTCAAGCGCAGCTTTCAAATCAAGTATCGCTTTCAAATTCATATTGTTCTTTAAAAGAAAAAAATTGCATTTTGCTTTCAACGGCTGTAGTAAATATATTAGACCATGCAGGTAATTCACATAATTGCAGGATTCTACTAGATAGTGGATCACAAAACAATGTTATCACTAAAGATTTTTGTAATAAATTAAATTTAAAATCAGAAAAAATTCAAATTCTCGTTTCAGGACTTAATAGTACAACCTCAAATATTAATTCTAGAACTCTCGTTAAAATACATTCTCGTATAAATTCTTTTCACACGACTTTGTCTTGTTTAATTATTGAAAATATTACAAACAGTATTCCCTGTATAACATTTGATAAAAATGATTTACCTATACCACCAAACTTGTTTTTAGCAGACCCCAATTTTAATATTGCTGGAAAAATAGACATGCTCATAGGAGCCGATACATTTTGGGACCTCTTATGCGCAGGGCAAATAAAACTTGGACGCAATGCTCCGATACTGCAAAAAAACAGTTTAGGTTGGGTTGTTTCTGGACCGATCTCATTAGAAAACATTCCTAAAAACAATGTAATTTGCAATTTGAGTATAAACATGAATTCAGACGATAATCTAAACATTTTAAGTAAACAGTTACAAAGATTTTGGAACATCGAAGAGTTATCACCCTGTAAAAGGCATTTATCTGTCGAAGAATCTTTTTGTGAAGAGCATTTTGCAAAACATACAAAGCGTAATGAATCGGGCAGGTTTGTAGTACGATTTCCATTAAAGGAACCGATTTCTAAGTTAGGGGAATCAAGAAAATATGCTGAAAATAGATTTATTTCTTTAGAAAAAAGACTTTTAATCCTGAATTGAAAACACAGTATTCAAAATTTATACATGAGTATATCTCATTAAATCATATGACATTAGTGTCAGATCTTGAAACAAATACCGGGTTCTTTCTACCGCATCATTGCGTATTAAAACAAGATAGCACGACCACGAAACTTCGCGTAATTTTTGATGGCTCAGCCAAATCTGCAACAGGCTATTCTTTAAACGACTTGATGATGGTAGGTCCGACTATCCAAGACGAGTTATTTTCAATATTAATTAGGTTTCGTCAACATAACTTTGTAATAGCTGCTGATATAGCTAAAATGTACAGGCAAGTACTGGTCAGTAAAGATCAACGTTATCTGCAAAAAATATTATGGCGTGATGAACCGTCTGAACCTTTTTCCGTTTATGAGCTAAACACAGTGACTTATGGAACTGCGTCGGCGTCGTATTTAGCCATAAGATGTCTCCATGAAATCGGTCATCAAATATCCATCCAAAACCCTACTCTTAGTTCAATAATTTTAAACGACTTTTACGTAGATGACCTATTGACTGGCAGTACGACAAAGGAGCAAGTTATCCAAATTAAGTCTGATTTAACAAATATTCTGTCTTCATATGGGTTCCAACTTAGAAAATGGATATCAAACTGTCCTGAAATTATTTCTAGCCAAGATAGTGGTTCAGATTTTATTAACTTAGGGAATAATGAACTGTCAAAAACATTAGGCCTATTTTGGCAACCGAAACAAGACATTTTGACTTATTCAGTTAAAGTAAATGAATCAATTCAACCTGTTACTAAAAGATTAATTTTAAGTTCAAAAGCCCAAATATTCGATCCTCTAGGATTATTATCACCTACTATTATTACTGCAAAAATAATACTACAAAAACTCTGGCAATTGCAAACCTCATGGGATGAATCTGTACCCCTGAGTCTTCATACAAAATGGAATTCTTTTAAACAGGATTTAAATGAGTTAAATAAGCTAAAAGTTCCCAGACATACACTTTGTTTTTCACCTCAATCAATTGAACTCCATGGCTTCGCTGATGCGTCGCAAAGCGCTTATGGTGCATGCATATACTTGAGATCTCTTGATAATAAAAACAAATTTCATTGTCATTTGCTTTGTGCCAAAACACTTGTAGCTCCCTGGAAAACTGTAACGATTCCCAGACTCGAGCTTTGCGCAGCTTTGTTATTGGCCGAACTAATGGACAAAGTAAAATCATCTTTAAAAATAAAAATTGACAAAATAATTTACTGGTCAGACTCGACAATCACTCTTTCATGGATAAATGCATCACCTCATATGTTTAAAATATTTATTTCAAATAGTGTTGCACAAATTCAATCTTTGTCTGAGCCTAATCAGTGGCATTACGTTTCGACTCATGAGAATCCGCCGACTTATTGTCACGCGGTATTACATCTACTGAATTATTATCATCCACATTGTGGTGGCATGGACCTAAACATCTTTTACTTATTGATACTGAATGGGAAAAAACCACAAACATAAAACAATCTATTGAGGAACTTCCTGAATTACTCCCTAAATCATTAGCATTAACAACTGTTGTTAAGACAAAGTTTGAAACATTTCCGCAATTAGCAAAATATTCAACATTTAATCGTATGCAGCGAATACTCGCATATGTATTGCGGTTTATCAATAATACTAAGAGTACAACTAAATACTCTGGTCCTCTTAACTCGTGTGAACTAAATAACTCATTAAATTGTCTTATAAAAATCGTGCAAAATGAAACTTTTTCCAACGAAATTCAAGCAATAAAGAAAAATGGTCAAGTGAATTCGAAGAGTAACTTGTTAAATATGAACCCCTTTATTGATGAAAAGGGTATACTACGCGTCGGAGGGCGTCTTAAAAAATCGAATTTTAATTATGAAAAAAAGCACCCAGCATTGCTGCCAAAAGGTCATATATTTTCAGTTTTAATAGCCCGTCACGAGCACTTACGTTTACTGCATGTGGGGCCTCAACAACTACTTGCGTCTCTGAGAGAGAAATTTTGGCCTTTATCTGGTCGCAATTTAGCACGAACAATTGTACATAACTGTATGAGGTGTTTCAGATTTAAAGCCAATCCTGTTAGGCATATCATGGGTGAGCTACCCACTGAAAGGATTACGCCTACACGTCCATTTCTTACTTGTGAAAGAGACTATGCTGGACCTTTTCTACTAAAGGACAGAACTACTCGAAGTTATAAAACTGTTAAGGCTTACATTTGCTTATTCATTTGCTTTTCCACTAAGGCTATTCACTTAGAACTTGTTAGTAGTCTGAGCACGGATTCTTTTTTGGCAGCCTTAAGGCGTTTTGTAGCAAGAAGAGGCAAATGTGTCAAAATATTTTCAGACAATGCTACCAACTTCATAGGAGCAAATTCTCAATTAAAGTTTTTCTTAAAAAATTCACATCGCGAATTACAAACTAAGCTTGCTGGGGAAGGTATAACTTGGAATTTTATTCCTCCAAAGGCACCTCACTTCGGAGGCCTGTGGGAGGCCGGAATAAAGGCCGTTAAATTTCACATGCGCCGAGTAATCGGTGATACCCCATTATGTTTCGAAGAATTTTGTACAGTTCTAGCACAAATAGAGTCCTGTCTGAATTCTCGACCCTTGTATGCCTTGTCAAGTGACGCCAATGACCCTTCTCCTTTGACACCCTCGCACTTTCTCATTGGAGAAACTCTCACTTCAATACCGGAGCCTGATTACACCGACCGAGCTAACAATCAACTGAAGCGATTTCAACTTCTACAAAAAATGTTCCAGTCATTCTGGTCCAGATGGAACCAAGAATATATTTCTCAACTTCAAACATTATTGCGTAAACGATCTCTGTGGAAGAATTTATTAAGAATAAATCAATGTGGTTAAAAGTACACTTTTTGATTTAAAGTGTTATAGCAACAGTGAGCATATAAATTTCATTCAATGATAAATTCTACACTTTCTACCGAGCCAAGTGGAAGGACACTTACTCCGATCAATTGAAACCAAACGTTCTCGTTCTCGTTAAAGGAGATGGACTCCCTCCCTTAAAATGGCTGATAGGAAGAGTCATCCAAGTGTTCCCTGGTCCTGATGGTGTTATCCGAACTGCGACAATAAAAACATTGCACGGAATTTATAAACGACCTGCAGTCAAGCTGTGCATCCTTCCGTTACCTCCAGATCCAGACGAAAGAAGTTAAAAGCCCGAAGGCTTTCAAGAAGGGCGGCTATGTTGCACCGTTTCTTTTTTGAATATTCTGCCTGCAAAGTTGGCAGCACCGGCATGCGGTGGTTCCCAGCATACTAGCTTGATATGTCATAGTATACACACGTATTGTACGTTATTAAAATATTTATTATTTTACTAAATAAACTATAAAATAAAACATTCAAAAGTGCTTAAACAAATCAACAGGTACTCTTGTTTCAAATCGTTATCTTTAACGGTTTCTGAGAAAATCGCTCTTGAATTAATCCCACTTCGGTCAATTTCATAGTAATTTAAACAAAATTATCAAGGTATTCTTATGTCAAAGTATTGTCAACCCGATTGCCAATTTAATAGTTCTAAGCGAAAAAAATGGAAGAGTTTACGGGACAAGAGTTAGTTGATATGATATTTATTTATGGCTTTTGCGATGGTAATGCTGCAGCGGCAGAACGCGAGTACGGGAGAAGGTTTCCAAACCGAAGGCTGCCATCAAGGAGGACATTCCCTACGGTATTCCGCAACTTAGCTGCAACCGCCACTTTTCGAAAGGCACCGGGTCAAGGACGTCCCAGGATTAATAGGGAAGCGGAGGTCCTTGACGCTATTGAACAAGATCCTACGACTAGCATACGGAACATTTCAAGGCAAATAAATGTTCCTCGGCCAACGGTACTACATATCTTAAAGATTTCCTTAACAGAATTGATTAGATGTGCTACTAACATTTCAGGTTGGAAGAATATTAAAGCGACAAGGTCTACATGCCTATCACTATCGACGTGTACATGGCTTGATACCAGAAGATTTTGCGCCACGTATGCAATTTTGTCGCTGGATTTTGTCGCTGGACAACGAGCAAGCTTCCAAAATTTTGTGGTGTGACGAAGCTACTTTTACCCGAAATGGAAAATTAAATTTTCATAATTCTCATTATTGGGAAGAAGAGAACCCACATGTTGTTCGGAGAACAAACTTCCAGCAACGGTTTTCCATAAATTTATGGGCGGGAATAATTCACGACACTCTGATTGGACCTATTGAAATTCCACAACGTCTCAATTCAAATCTTTATTTAAACTTACTTCAAGAAAATCTTCCCCAAATTCTCGATGATCTGCCTCTAAATTTACGACGTAACATGTTTTTTCAACACGATGGAGCCCCGGCACATAGTGGTCGCAATGTTCTAAATTTCCTAAACGAAAATTTCGCTGGACGGTGGATAGGGAGGCACGGACCGGTAGCTTGGCCGCCGCGTTCTCCCGACCTAACCCCGCTGGACTTCTTTTTCTGGGGATATCTAAATCAAAAAGTTTACGCCACCGAAGTCGATACCCGTGAGGAATTGCTGCAGCGTATCAATGATGCAGCCAATGAAATTCGTCAAAACCGTTTTAGCATCTTAATAGCTTCGAGAAGTGTTACACGTAGGGCAAGACTTTGTATCAGAGAAGGTGGAGGGTTTTTTGAACAGTTTTTAAAATAGCTTGTTGTCTGTTATCAAAATTAAGTTTCCATCTTATGATCCCTTCGAAAAGTGACGGTTGCAGCTAAATTGCGGAATACAGTGAGGAATGTCCTCCTTGATGTCAGCCTTCTGTTTGGAAACCTTCTGCCGTACTCGCGTTCTGCCGCGCAGCATTACCATCGCAAAAGCCATAAACAAATCATCATATCATAATTGTTCTACATCAATAATGTGTATTACTGATTACGTATTAAATTATTATTATTATTTTTTGTTTAAATTACTATGAAATTGACCAAAGTGGGATTAATTCAAGAGCGATTTTCTCAGAAACCGTTAAAGATAACGATTTGAAACAAGAGTACCTTTTTAACGTAAAACAGTTCGGGAAAACGGAATTTGCTGTCCAATTTGTTAAAAAGTCAAAGATGAAAAAGTTACACACGCAAAGTACCAAGGGCCCCCCCGTACCCACCCCAATGGACCTTGTGGAAATAAATGGATTAGTCCATCAAATTGCTCATCAAAATTTAGCTGTGTATACCAAATTTCATTCATTTATCACAACGCGATTGAGAGATATTGCAAAAAAATGATTTCCATTCCTCCCTCTTCAATGGGTTCCTGTGCCCTTAGAAAGCATTTCCGGACCCATGTTCATATGAACTTTTTTACTTAGTTTTGATCATAGAATCGGCCTGTTCAGGGTTGGCAGCTAATTATGAGACACCCCTATATATATATATATATACATGCACGGCTATCATTACGAAGCCCACTACATTACACGGACAAGCCGGCTTATAATAAAGCTAAAAAAAATAAATGCGTGAGCAGGGGCGGCGGAAGGTTGATTTGGGGGTTGAAAAGTTATGAAAAATTGTATCATTGGGATTTCTGGCGAAAGTTGACGTCAGACAACAAAGTATTCAATACAAAACTTGTAGATCATGCACAAATCTACAAGTTTTGTAGAGGTCATTTTTTAACATAACCTCAAAATTTCGGAGAAAAATGCGAAAAACTGTTTTTTTTTCTACTTTTTAGTTTTTTATTTCTCATTTCCGCAAAAATAATTTAATTTTGACGAAAGTTGGTAAAAGTATACCTTTCTCTGTCTTAAATAACCTCAATTTTTTTTAGATAAAAAAATCAAGAAGTTTCTGAGATATTCATTTTTTTCGGCCTGAAACACTTTTTTTTCAAAGAAAAATTCTACTTAAAAAAATCATCGTACAGAGTTCTGCCGGTAATCATTTTTTTCGTATTGACATATACTTTTTGGTGAAATAAAAAAAAATGTAATCACAGTTCAAAAACATGCTCAAAAATGCAAAAAAGTAAAAAATGACTTGCAGTAATGAATTTTTCAGTAATGGTTGATAATTTATTTAAATTTAAAAAAAAATCAAATACTGATTACGCCATTTAATTATACGGAAAAAATACAAAAAAACTGTCTCATTGATTGACACAAAACTATTTTTGTACAGTATTGCTATAAACATAAGTGGAATAGTGAATAAATAATATAAATATTTTTTTTTTCGATAGGATCGATTAGTGTACTTATTTTTATTAAAGTTTGATGAATTCATAGATATACAGTGTGTCCAATATAAGGATGGGATAGGCATTAGGATCTAGGAAACGGTAAGAGATATGGGGTGGCTCAGATTAGAAAAAAATTGTGTTTTTTTATACCTAACAATATGCTGTTAAGAAAGTTTTAAAATTCCGGGTAGTTCCGGACATATCCGAAAAAACCCGAAATTATGCAAAATTGTTTAATTTTTTCTGGCTTTATTTGAAAATGAATTTTAAAATAAATTACATATTTACAATGCCACTTATTTCGCTCTAGCGTCAACATTTTTGTAATCCTACGTTTCGTCTTCGTCTTCAAGGGGCCATCATCGGGTTAATTTTTTTAAATACGTCGCTGCTATTTTTATGACAAAATCTAGTCATTTTTAATTCTGAATTAGAGGATATTACTAATCGCTTAAAAAGTTTTTAGCTTGTTTTAGCTATAATTTAAAAATTTTTCGGAGTACTGCTGAGTAAAAAAGTTAATACCGCATAAAATATCCAACAATTTTTTACTACTATTGGNAACTTTTTTATTTTAAGAGATAGAGAAAACTTATTTTAATAAAATTTCATGGCAAAATTGATATCTTTCACCTGGTGTAAACAGATTTTGGAACTATCGTCTGTAAATTGCAGCGCCCTCTACGCGGGCAAAAAAAATGTCGTCAAAGTAGGCTATTTCCACAAAATAATTGTTCTTTTCTCTTTCATGCTATATACTACATGTCGCCATTATCTTTTATATTTATTAAATTTTTATACTTTTAATATAAAAAAAAATATATAAAAATTTTCATGTTGCTTATATTAATGTAAACATTCATTTTAAACATAATAACTACAAAAGAATTAATAAATATAACGCACTTCTCTTAAGCAAAATACAGATTTTCTTATTACTTTATTATAGTATTGGTTTTTGCATTAGAGAGAATTAAGCCTTCAACATTGTTCTTTCACAGAGAAAGTAGCTTACGCTAAATCTCGCAAGCTTTAAAAACAAATGTGTTACCCCTTTGACCTCAGTAATATCATTTTGGCAAACTGTTTATTGTTATAGATTATACGTAACTGTTGGCTTGAAAACTGTTACAGTTCATTGTAATTTGAAAAATTTTCATTTTGAAGGTGTTATAAAATAAAAAAGGGTATGTAATTTGAGGAAGAGGAAAGCTCTAATTCTGTAAGTAGATATATTTATTATTTTTTTTATATTTGGCGTGTTTAAAACAATTTCTACATTAACATAAGCAACACGAAAATTTTTATATTTTTTTATATCAAAATTATAAAAAATGTAATAAATATAAAAGATAAAGGCAACATGTAGTATATCGCAAGAAAGAGGAAAAAAACAAGCAATTATTTTGTGGCCATAGTCTACTTCGATGACAATTTTTTTTTGCCCGTGTAGGGGGCGCAGCAATTTACATACGATAGTTCCAAAATCTGTTTATACCAGGTGAAAAATATCAATTTTGCCATGAAATTTTATTAAAATAAGTTTTCTCTATCTCTTAAAATAAAAAAGTTAGACGACCCTAAACTTTCGGCACTTTTCCGGTTTTTTTATAAATCCTCACAAAGTTGGCCATGGATCTCAAATTTGTTTTTACGAGCATAAAGACCTCAAAAAATGCAACAAAAAACATATAAAGATTTTTGACGTGCGACGTATATTAAGCGAGATACATAGAAGGGGCCCTCTTACAGTAGACAGCCTGTATATATACATGCACGGCTATCATTACGAAGCCCACTACATTACACGGACAAGCCGAAGCCCGCTTAGGTGCGGAAAGGTGGGATAATTTAGACATTAAGTACGGACAATATTTCATCAGTTTGGCAGTGGTTGTGTAACAAAAGATACATCTTGCAGTTATAAGAAGCCCGGCGGTGTTGCCTCATCATCGTTGTGGACCATTAATAAATTAGGTGTTATAAATGCTTGAGCAGGGGCGGCGGAGGGTTGATTT